GCAAACGATCTTCCACCATCAACCTCTGCTTGGAGAGTACGAGAGTTGTTACTCTCGTTCCCCACCTCCTGTATGTTATAAGCTCGTTCCCTTCTCATGACGTCGACGGCGAACCTGGCCAGAGTGCCGGCCACCCCTGAGCGGTCACTCCCGGCACCTAACGCCGCCTCCAGGTCCAGAACCTGCCGCGACAAGACCGGGCTGTCCTCCCGTAACTGCGCCGTGATATCCTGGGGTAAGGAGCAGGGATTTCAAGTTATAATCAATCAATCAATCAATCAATCAACTTTATCAATCAATCAAATTCATTGCTCAACAACTGTAGCTGGTACAATGTATGGCAAAGAAACAACAATGGTACATACACAAACTAATACTATTCTAACGAGCTAATCTATTGTGTTTTCTTAGGAAGAGTATTATTACATTCTGTAATTCAGGGGATATATCAGCTATTTACAATATGGTGTCGCTTTTGTAGTGATTCAGATATGAATTTTCCAACTTACACTGATAACTGAGTAGAACATGAAAGGAGCATATTAAAGATATCTGATTTTGAGTGAGGTAGCGTAACATTAGTTTTGGAAGCTATGGATTGCATCAACTTTTGTCTGTTTTCTTCATATGTTGGACATGACATAATGCCATTTGAAATAACGGCAGTTAAATACGAACGGTCCTTGCAACATTGATAGATTTTAATGGCATCCAATTGATGCAATTTTAGGTCGGCAAAACAAAACAAAAGGACCCAGGCTTTTCAAATTAATGTCTATGAATTAACAGTGGTTAAGTACATACAAAATGTCCATGGAATATTGATAGATTTTAATGCAATGCAATATTTTGGATCGGCAGAACAAAAATATTCTGGATAAAGAAATCCCAGAAATCTGTCTGATATTGACTGATTTGTTGACATTTCCAAGCACACTTTTATCATAATTTCATACTTGAAGCCCAAAAAACAACCTACTTGAAGCGTCTCTTTTTTGTGTGTATCTCCCATGAAAAGCTAAAAAAGCCTACGTTTCAAAACATGAAACCGTTTTGCGTCAGCGACATCATATTTTGGCCTCACAGATATCGGCATGCTATGGGATAGGATTACTGCATTAATTATTAAATGCATAGAAAATTGACTTTGAAAATCCAGCTTTGCCGCCCTGACACTACATTGGATACCTTCCCTATGATAGTTACTGCTACTGTTGCTATTGCTACTAGTATTGAGGGTGCACAGCGTTCAACTGTTAGTCTGTTGCTGTTGGTATCACACTTAACTATATTTTAATGCTTTCTACGTGTGCTTGAATACTCATCGTGCTAAAATGGTGATATGTTACATTCTAAACCGACTCGATGGTTCGTTTTCAATGCTGTTTACAATGTGCAATGTGCACGCTACCTATTGCGCAATATTGCATGCGGCATCGAAACATAAACAACGAAAGTAGAAAAGGCTACACATCTTACACTTTACGGCTTGACACAAAGTTTCTCTTCTACTATTATAACAATATACCAATCTTACAGTGACTACAGGATACCGAAATGTTGAAAATTAATGTTGACTTAAGCTTGAACTTCACCATTACGCTTGTATCTAGCCCATAATATAAAGAACGTATTCTATTTCCCTTCCACTACACCTTCAATGAACCATCGGGTATTTTCTGGAGGAAGTTTTGTTTGTCTTTTCTAAAACTGAAAATTTGACTTTAGAATGAAGCTACAACAGAGGGAAAACCTACCTTTACAAAATCTGACTCTCAAAAAACAGAAAATCCTGTCTCATATGGTTATGACTTAATTTTTTTTCGAGGAGGATGCCAGACCCCATACTGTGGTCATGTTTTTTTTTTTTGGACTCAATGTGCGACTTGCACCACAGAAAGTTGTCTTCCGCACCTGACCTCTATCCTTTTTAAAACTTTATTAATAACCAAGTGACAAAATAAACACATACACATGAAATGAAACATGCAAAGCAATAAACAGAAATTACAGTTGTTGCCTATAGAACATCACTCTCTTGTGAACATCAGATTTTAACTTCATAAACTTCAAGTGAAACGTAGGATTTCTATTTTACCTAAACACACTTCTGTCATTCCTTCTATTTTTAAACAACTTTGGTATTACATTGGTTTTCAACCAATTACACAAGAAGAAAATAGCTTTAGGCACAGGTCTGAAGTCATGTTTTTTTGGTGTTTTTTTGCTCAATGTGCGACTTGCACCACAGAAAGTTATCTTCGTACCTGACCCCTACGCTGTGAAAAAAAATATATAGTGAGAACCCTGTGCTAGCTATGTTTCAAATAATAAAGTAAGTTAACAAACCGGTCTCAGCTCAGGTTCCCAGCTAAGTGTCCCTTTGGATGACATGGTGGTCAGCTCGCTACTCTCTGATGACACAAACACGAACTCTTGGTTTGGGTCTGTCTCTTCGGCTACCGGTTCTTCCTTGGTCTCGGTGTCTTCCACGGATTCCTCTTTTACTGCTTCTTCTTGTGTTGTTCTTGTGTCCAGGTCTCCTGTAGTCTCTGCCTTGGTGTCGGTTGGAGTTTCGGGGGTGTGTTCGTCTGAAGACTCGCTGCCGTTGGACCTCAGTGACAGTTTCGATCGAAGCTCGTCGACCTGGTTTCGTAGCCCGTTCGCCTCGCATTTCGTATCGTGGAGAATCTCGCCTGTTTTAGAATACACAAGTATCAATTGCCCCGAAACTACTGAGTAGTGTCAGTACTGTGTCGGGCTGTAGTTACACTTTACCATTCACCAGTTTCCCATCCCCAGAATGCAACGCGAAAGCATTTGCGTAGGACAGGAAGACATCGGAATGATCCTGGTGACGTTAAACAGTTTGTTTTTCACTGTGTTTTGAGGTGTTTTGTCATTTTATGCTACGGTTAATTAAATTACTATGGGTTGAATCTGACAACAAATAGAGAATGAATTGTTTGTAACGTTATAGTGGTAAACGCTATATGATGCTGTAACGTTACAAACCACATGTTCCATGTTGAAAAGAACACAACTTCATTCTCTATTTGTTGTCAGATTCGAACCATAGTAATTTAATTAACATTGAGCATAAAATGCCCCAACACCTCAAAACACAGTGAAAAGCAAGCTGTTTAACGTCAACAGGATCATTCCGATGCCGATCATCCCGTTTTCGCGTTGCATTCTGGGGATGGGAAACTGGTGAATAGTAAAAATAAAATTGCCATCTGGCGGGTAAAGTTTCGTCGCTAGGTGGCGCTTTTTCTATGGCAAAATGAGTCACTGGAAATTCCCGTGTCGGTTGGGTGGGAAATACCGATGTTCACGAAAAAAAGAACACAGATATTTGGGTGTGCTTGCGCAACGCCAAGAAAGTTTTAAAACTTTATCAGGAACAAACTTAAGATAGTAGGACAATTTTGTGGCATATTTTTTTATAACTTTGATGTCAGAAACATATATATTTTGCTTTCAGGACGCTTTCAAAAAAGGCAACCAATTAGTAATACTGTAAAGTTCTACTTGAGTTTACAAAATTCGCATGGACAGCTACACACGTGTATAAGTACATTTCCCACCTATTAATATAATATACATGATATAAACAATGGGCGCTTTGTTATTTTTTAAAACCTTTAAATTCCAATAGGAAAGTATTTAGATCAGGAACATATTCTAGAACTCTGATGACCTGCCCATCCCTTTAAACAAGCGATATAGTGCACCCGCATCGAAATTAATGTTGGTCTAGTGCGTACAAAAAGTAGATCTTTCTAGCGCGTCCTGCCATATGATATTTCCCATAAACTCCAAGCAGATGTTGGTACGAGAATATGCTTGAAGAATTGAGGAATTTCTCACACACAACTCTTGTCTATTAGCAATAGATATACATAAGTTACAAACTTATTTTATATGGCCACGTACATACAAAATAACAAACAACATGATATGTATGGCTTTATATTATTCTGTGATACTTACCCAACGCTTGTACAAGTATACTTTAATGTCCATTGGACCGGCTATCAGAAAACGGAGCATTATAAGAACGTAACAACCTTCCCAATCAACCTCTGCTTGGAGAGTAAGGATTTCCTGACATACAACCTTGTTCTGAGGACATACTGTCCTTGCTTGGTCTTACCGACAACACATGTAACACATAACGGAGCATATAAGAGGAATGTCACAATCTAAATTCTTACCACCCTACCTCTGCTTGGAGAGTAAAGATTTCCTGGCATACAACCTTGGTCCAAGGACATTGTATACTGTCCTTGCTTGGTCTTTTAAGTATAGCACATTTTCCCTTGGTACTTACCCAACACTTGTACATGTTAATTGAACCGGCTGTCAGAAAACAGAGCATATAAGAAGAATGCTACAATCTTACCACCCATCAACCTCTGCTTGGAGAGTAAAGATTTCCTGACATACAACCTTGTTTATACAATATTGTACAATATTGTATACTGTATATTGTATACTGTCAATTGCTTGGTCTTACAATTCATTTTCCGGTGGTACTTACCCAACACTTGTACACCCTGTACCCGGGACAGTAGCCGCTCGTTCTCTTCGCAAAGCCGCTCATTTTCCTCTCTCAGGCGCTGGGCTTCGGGGTCGTATGAGGGGGGTGGGGGGTCCGTCCCGGGGGGTAGGGTCGGCTTTGTCTCCGTCGCCATTCTTATGAGGGGGCCTCACCTCAAATACACACCTGGTGAAATGTTTTCTTTGTAAGTAAAAGTCTCTTTTAGACAAAAAAAACACCTCTAGGCACTTTTAAACTTTTGCCGTTCTACTTAAGTAGTGAAACTAAAAGACCGCCGCTTGGTTCTTAATTTAACTGAGGCCTATTCAAGACTTTCCCGAACAGTTTTACGAAAGTGTGACGGAAGTACATACGCAATGCTTACCTTGGATATCGTTCGCGCGTTTTAATAATATAACTTCCTATGTCGCAAGTACAACTTCCGCGAAAACGTGACAAGAAGGAATACATACAAGCACAGCGTGGAATATAACAAAGATGCCACGTGAAGAAAGAACTGAGGCGATACGCAACAAAGATTTCGGGCTATTCCAGTGACAAAACAAAGCTAACAATAGCAATTGTACCAACCAGAGAACACGCTTCAAAATAGCATGTTCGTTCTCTTGTTTTCTACGTACACGTGTCTTCCGCCATCCACTTCTAAGTACGTAGTTACTTTTTTAAGACAGGCGACGCGGTAAAAGTTCTGAGAAGCCGGAACCCGGAAGTGAGGAACAGCGCAAATACGTAGACTTCCGACAGACGCGTACGCATTGGAAAACCCCAATAGACTAACTTGGTCATTTTTAGGCACAAAACCGAAGGGCGAAATCATCGGGAAATTCTTGTCGTTTGTGTTCAACCGAAATCGTAAACAACCGTTAAAATATACGAGCGACTATTGGCTACTATCCAGTTCAAACTCAATATACAAACAGGTGTGTATAACGTTTACCTGTATTCTTGTTGAACAGTAAATAGAGCTTAGATTCACAAAATGGATTCCACAGAATGCGACTGAAGTGTAGTACGTGTAAGAACCACACTAAGTTCTATCTTGACTTCTCATTTTGTTGCACTTCGCACCATGTGACACTTACTCACACAACTAGTTGCAAAACAAGTATGACTAGCTCGAGACCAAATATTGCACAACAGCATATGAGTCATGATGCATTGCACATTCATTATTTCACACTAGTAGGTACACTGCAAAATAAGGATTCGTATATTACGTGGGAACTATTTGCAGAACAAATGTGCAATTCATTGTTTGCTATTGAAGAAACTAAAAGGCAGAACATTGCAGTGTTTGTAACAGGTGATTCATTTCCTCCTAGAGGGGGTGACGCCATTGGTTTTTCCCCGACCCCACAACGAGGACCGCGTTACTCACTATGTATCCTTCCGCCACTATATTACACCCCTTCCCACTCCCGCCCAACCGTATTTCAACCAAACCATACGCCAGCGCGGACTATCCTGGTTGGATTCATACATCTTTTCCTACACCTACAACGATCTAAATTTTAACCTAGAGAACTTACACATCTAGTACACACCAAAAAGCGCTGATTTGAACCGTTAGAAGCTGGCTAAACGGCAAAATAACGTACCTCTCCGCTCATGTTCGAAACTGCGTAGCACCTTGGGCAGCGCAGAGCGACAATGGCAGTCTGCACCGGCGGAGGGATACACGGGTTGGCCCGGTAACTCCCGGATGATTAGTTTCGGGGATTCCCCATGGTCTGTCCCATTCAACAATGGGGAATGGGGGTCCAGACATAATACATGTTCTATCTAGCAAGAAAAAAAGCTCCATGTGAAACTTTTTGCTCACACTGTATTGATTATAAACATTTGATAAACTAATAAAATTCTTATTGAGTAGTTAGCAGATTTTAGTAATCAGATTTTTAAAAAATACCGAAATTAGAAATACCCCTAAAAGCTAACAATAGATTGGTCCGCACTACTTCCCCTTCTGGGTAATACCCGACGCCACGCAGTCAGGTTGACAGTGCAAAACTGCAGGTTCTCTGAACTCTGAACCGCGCTTTTCCGATTACAGTGCTTTCCGAAACACTCAGAAAAATCCCCCTTTCTACTGTTGGCGTCTTGCCGCCTTTTTTTGCTGTGAATGTTGTGATCATAATTTATTCACAAATACATGGGCCCCATGTAGCTACACACTAGAAATCCACAGTCGGAGACTTGGCGATTTTGTCAGTTTGAACTTGCAATATAATAGTCGACAGAAAATTCGTTACATCTCATAATAGTCTTCAAAGAATCTAACATAATTTTAATTTGAGTTTTGCAGAACATTAAACAACAACCAGCCAGCCAGCTAGCCAGCCAATCAATCAATCAATCAATCAATCAATCAGTCAAACAACCAAACAGACATGTCAATTGTTGGTCCGCTGAAGAATACAGTTCAATGTAAGCGAAAAATTTGACTCTTGTGCATACCAACTCTCTGATGGCCTCTGATCTCTGACTAAATTAGCCAATTTATACTCTTTCCAGCCGCTTCCCGAAGCCTGGTAGATCGAGGCTACATGTTAGCAGTCCTATGACAGTGAGGTCAGTTCCGCATAAGCCACCGTGCAGCTGACCTCTCCCTTTGTTTACATGTGACAGGCACAGGAACCGCCACGATATGGGGATGTAGTCTTTGTAGTGTCGATTTCAGCTATATTGAGCAATATTCCATCATGCATGCAAAAAATAAGATGTGTGGGGTCGTGTGGCGTAGCGGCAGAGTGCTCGAATCGGAATCAAGAGGTCCCGGGTTCGAGTCCTGACATGCCACCGATCTTGTGCCCTAGGGAAAGGCACAAGATCGGTGCAACTCCCGGAGACGCACTAGGTAGACCTACCTGTTACCAGCCTAACGGCACCAGCGTGGTTGACTACGTCCTAGCAAGCGAGTCGATCCTTCTTCGCAAAATCTCGTTTTTCCACGTTCATCCACTGTCCCCCCTTTCTGATCACTGTAAGTTGTCACTAATTCTGCAATGTAGCCCAAAAACAGTCACCCGAGAAAACTACTATAACCACCCGTCCTTACCGCAAATTTGTTTGGAGTTCCGACTCAAAACAAAAATTCACAGATATCATAAACAGTGCAGATTTTTCTTCAAACGTCCATAAGTTTATGACAAAGGACTACGAGTCTTCACCAACTTCTCTCGATACCGCGTTAAACGATCTCGTGCTTCCCATACAAGAAGCCGGTAGAAAATCCTTAACGTTACGGATCACCAAAAAGAGACGATCGTCAGGTAGTAAACAGAATAATAAGAAAAAGTGGTTTACAGAGAATTGCGCAGCTGCGAGACGAAATCTAAATAATCTCGGCAAGCTACTTTCAAAAAACCCACGAGACCCTTTTATCAGGGGTCAATATTTCAAAACGAAAAAAGAATACACTAGACTAATCCGAAAAACGAAACGAGATCACAAAAATAACATCCTTCAAAAAATAAATTCATTCTCTGTTAATAACCCTTCAGCGTTTTGGAACCAGCTTAAACAATTGAAATCAGACAAAATAACAACGGAAGAAATTATTGACAGTGAAACAATCCACAGTCATTTTAAAAACTTGTACGGCAGAGAGGCAAACTCAGGTGAATCCGAAATGAACAGCAATTTTCACATGCAGATTAAGGAAAAATTGACTGAACTAGAAAATGATTTTGTCCAACTGCAACCTCTTAGACACAACAATACAACAAACCGAAGTCAGACAAGCAATTTCTCAACTGAAAAATGGCAAAGCCTCAGGCAGCGATATGATACTCAACGAAATGTTAAAAAGTGCTGCTCACATCCTGACAAAACCTCTAACTAAATTATTCAACCTTTTCTTAACTTCCGGCTACTTCCCTGAACAATGGTGCACGAGCCATATTGTTACTCTGCACAAAGGTGGCGCTAAAGACAACCCCAACAACTATAGGGGTATCTCTGTAATGAGTTGTCTAGCAAAGTTATTTACGTCAATCCTTAACAACCGTCTTACTAACTTTCTAGAAGAACATGCTCTCATCTCCCCAAATCAAGCAGGATTTAGAAAAAACTTTGGAACAAACGATAATATCTTTGTAATTGACTCACTAATATCCAAATATGTAAATACTAACAAAAGACTATATGCGTGTTTTGTTGACTTCCAAAAGGCGTTTGACTCCGTGTGGCGCGAAGGTCTAATGTATAAATTACTTAGCTCAGGAATCGGAGGAAAATTCTATAGCCTTATTAAGTCCATGTACGCCAACCCCCAAACTTGCATAAAAACCCCGTCAGGACTCACGCCATCTTTTATAACCAACAAGGGTGTTAAGCAAGGTTGCAATCTCAGCCCGACACTTTTTAATCTGTTTATAAATGACTTAGTTAAGGAACTAGACAACCCAGAATGTACTCCACCCTCTCTTCACAATTTACTCATATCTAGCTTACTTTATGCAGACGACGTAGTTATTTTCTCTGAGACCGAAAAAGGACTGCAATGTGCACTAAACAAACTTAATCTGTTTTGTTCCCAATGGAAATTACAGGTAAATCTAAAGAAGACAAAGGTCGTAGTTTTTAACAGAACTGGACGAGCATTTAAAAATGTAAACTTTATGTTTGGCTCAGAGAAAGTAGAGGCCGTTACCTCATATTGTTACCTGGGTGTGTTGTTATCTGCGTCTGGAAGCTTTTCTTTGGCTAAAAAAGAGTTGTCCCTTAAATCACGCAAAGCCATTTTTTGCTATAAAATCCCTCATCCGCTCACCGATTTCTCTAAAGGCTCTTTTAAGAATATTTGATTCATGTATCAAACCTATTATGTTATATGGCTGCGAAATCTGGGGCAAAGAATACTTAAACGATACTAGTCCAATTGAAGTCATACATAACCGTTTCTGTAAAACATTCTCGGTATTCACAGAAACGCCAGCAACATAGCATGTAAAGCTGAACTCGGCAGATTTCCCCTAGATATAGATGTTTCTAGTCAGGGTTGGTTAAGTACTGGTTACGGCTAAGACAACTAGATTTCTTGCACACATCCACTACAAGTGGATGCTCTATTGTCTCAACAACATGATATGTTAAACGGCAACAAGAAAAACTGGTTATGCCACGTGAAAGAGATACTCGACAATAGTGGTAACTCGTTCATTTGGCAAAATAGCAATCTACATGTAAACAATAGATTTGTTTGTATATCGTTGAGAAAAAGACCAACAGACATGTATATTCAAACCTTCCTCCACAATTTATCTATCAATAGCGGCAAATTAAGATTGTATAGAAAACTAAAATCTGACTACGATATGGAAACCTATCTGCATCACCCTGACTTTGAGCTAAGATCATCTCTATGTAAAATGAGACTAAGCGCTCACACATTAGAGATAGAGAGAGGAAGATATAAGAAACTGCCTGTAAACGAAAGATTATGTAAATACTGTACAGAGGGAGCAGTGGAAGATGAAATGCATTTTATCTGTCAGTGTCCTCATTACGATTTTGAAAGAAAAAAGTTATTCAAAGATGTCGCCAATATTTCCCCAAGTTTTTCATATCTCAACCAACAACAAAAGACTATATTATTGCTAAAGTCCACCAACCCCTTTATTTTTCAAAGAGTCGGACAATTCATCTCCCACTGCCTCCTGAGAAGAAGTCAAACCCCCTAATAGCATGACAAGAATAGTTGAATAAGATAGAATAGATTAGAATAGCAGTTACATTGTTCCTATTACCTGTTCACATATTGCATATTTACTTTTTTATCCTGTATGTATACCAACGTTATTAGATTTAAGTAGAGATAGTAGGTTCGATAAATATATCGTACACGTAGAAGTTCATGTCAGCAAATAGTCTTATACATGTATCACCACATTTTCTTGTCAATGTATGCAATTAGCCCTCGGGCAGGAATTTGCAATAAACAACTTCATTTATACGCCTTTCCTCACTTCACTCAGATGAAAATGGCTTAATGAGCATTGTATTGTCCCCTCCTTTGGTGGCGGTTGAAAAAAAAAACTTGAGTGTGCCGTCACCACGTCTTGTGATTAGCCGTTGGAATATAAAAAATGAATAATTAAGTCTAAACCTAGCCCCCGACAACATATTACTTTGCGCGCAGGCGTGAACTATCCGTAATAAACTGTATCAGCACTGCGCATGATCGACCGAGGTCAAAAAGGGGTGGCTGTGCTTGTTGTCAAACCTGTTTTTGTACAACTTCAAAAGCTTGCGGCAACGATACTGTAATTCACTTTATGTTCACAGTACCAAAAGTTCACGGTCCGAGGAAAATGAACATGTTCACTATGTTCATGGTGGTGACAGGTGCAGTAAAAAGAAAAGTCCAGGAATTATTTGTTAAATGTAATGATAAGTTCACGGTACAGAAGTGACAGTAAAAACAGTGAATAGACAGTACAGTGAAAAAGCAGCTAGGAATTACAGTAATAAGTAAACAGGTTAGACCGTCTACTACTACATACACGCCACCGTACGCCTGTAGCCATGGGGGCGGAAACGTGAGTCAAACTCTTCGGGGAAGTAAATGGCGTAATAAAAGTCCCCGCCAAACCCCGCAGGAAGTGTGGTCACAAAAAGTAAACCGTCTTCAAGTTTCGTGACTGGGCCCGATTTAGTGCCCACAAAAAGTTTACAGTTGAAATTGATACATGTCACATGCCCCCATGTATTTGGTAGAAGCATTCACATATCATTAACGTAGGGCTTTTAATCAAATCAACTTTATTGCTCAACAACTGTAGCTGGTTTTAATGAAAGACGTTTGTGCTCTAACAAGCTAAGTACAGGTCATGAATAGACAAGGAAAAGGATACAGCAATGACACTTAAACCGTATACATACTAATGTGATCTACTATTTACATGTTCAACTTCTTCTCGCTTCTTGACGCAGTTATAGATGCGTACGAACATATAGAACTAATGATACATGGTTTGTCAAGTTTCATAAGAAACTTATCTATTATATAAGAATATAAGGAATCTCTCTCATTACTATATAACGTATAAACGACTACAAAATGATACTCATCCTCAATCTTATCGCTAAATCGCAAAATTGGCAAATCCTTTGCTGTAGAGGAATGCGGTTGTGTCTGCCTTTTTCTATGTGGAGTTTGTGTGAACTAGGTATACATCACATATCAACACAATCGCGTAGGTGTCAACGAGGGGTTAGCAAGTGCGTCATTGTGTGTATACGTAGGCTAGTGCATGTGGCACTGGCATCGGTTTTTTGTTACATGCGTAACTGTATATATATTGCGTAGGTGAAACTTCTTTTTTCCCTCCCCACGTAGAAACCTGTGCTTTATCCTAGAACTATGTTTTTGTTTAGTTCTAATTTTTAAAGAACACGTGTAACATGAAAATTTGGTTATTTAAAGACGTCAGCGATTATACTGCACTGCGCGTGTATTTTGGCAGCAATCCAAATGTTGCAAGGAAATAGTTCCAGTCCCCAATACTACGCAACAGTTTAAATAAATCCTGCGAAGAGAGAAAAAATCCCGTCATTTGATGGAATCCTCTCTGTGACGTACATACTAGCCTCCATAGCAGGCTCATAGAACTGGGGGTTTGGTGGTGATCGGCTGTTTTCTGATTAGCCTCCGTAGCAGGCTTAGGGACCGTACGTTATTTATCGGGGGGGGGAGGGCCGGTGCGTAGGAAATCGGGCAGAAAAGGTTTTCCCTGGCCCTCCCCCCCGTATTTATTTTTTTCCCTGGCCCTCCCCCGCTATAAGAAAACTTTCCTTGGCCCTCCCCCCTTTCTGAACATTACAAATGCCCCTGAAACTACATCCTAATTAATACTATAAACAATCAATAATAATTTATTAATAGTTTGATATGATATTTAAGTGCGGCACGCGACGAAGTGAAATATTCCGTGGGAAGCTCCCGGCTTTTGAGCGTGCCCGCCGGGCCAAGGAAATGGGCAAATTTGCGCGGACGGGGATTGGCTTTT